TGGCTTTCTCTGCATTTGCTGTAATATGTATCCAGCTGTCATTTCAGGTTGTTGGGGCACCGCGGGGGCCAGCACCTCCTTGGGGGCCAGTAGTGGTGGGGGCTCCCCGGGGGTGGCCAGGCAGGGCCTGTCCCACCACCTTGGGCCTTTGGTGGTGGGCTAGGCCAGGACGTCAGTCTGCAGGTGGGCCGAGCTCGGCAGGGCCTACGGCTGGGCAGGGTAGGGCTGTGCCACGGCGGAGCTGTAGCCCAGGCAGGGACCAAGCCCTCAGACAAAAGCAGCTCCCACAGGCAGGGGTGGGCCTCACGACCACTGTCAGGGAGTCTTTCCCCACGGCCCCAGTGGGATGGGGCCGCCCTCGGCTGCACGGCCTCTGAGCTGGCCCTGAGCCCCCACCGCCAAAGACCTGGCAGGGGGATGCGCTTGGGGCCCTTAGGGGTGGTCACGGCCCTAGACTGACCGCGCAGCCGTGCATGGGGAAGGGCAGCTTCCCACAGCGTCTTGCACCACACGTGCCATCCTGTTTGGAACAGCTGAGATCGTGTCTCGTTTTAGGCAGTAAGTGTACAATGCACCTCGAAAGTTTTCCAGCCTGCTTCAATACCTTTGCAAATAACATCCCAGTGCTAAACTGTTTTGCAGCTGCTTGATAAATGCCTTCTCCCACTCTCTGCCCAGGCTGGGAGGCTAGCAAGCCATGAATCACTTTCAAATCTTTCAGAGTTCACCAGAGCTTTGCGTAGCATTAATTTATCTTCATATGCATCTATGTAAAATACAAACAAAACTAAATGCTGTATATTAAACATTAAATAAGGAAAATGGTATTAATTACAAAGTTTCTATAGTTTAAAAACTCATAGTCAAATCCTGATAAAGCTGCAGTAAAGCACATTTATAGATGTGTTATCTTCTATGAAGCCAATTAAATTATCAGTGCTTCTCTGCATGATCTCCGGTATTTCATTGGAGAAAACTTTAGTGTCTTTGAATTGTTCATTCAGATACCCTGCTAATTACTTAACCATTAAGACAATGTATTATCTTCCCCCAGGCTTTACAAAAGTCAAATCTCATACAGTTCCTATAATTAGTAACTCACAAAGTCACTTCTATTAGATAACGTTAGGGAAAATAAGATGCCTCCCAGTGATTTGGAAGTTAGAAAAAAATACTCTGTGGTAACAAAGATAAAAACAGACTTTAGGTTTTTTTTGAATAGTCATCCTTAGAAGCTTTTTCAGATGGCAGCTTTTCATAGTTTAAATTTTAGTTTACGCTAACATATGCACAAATAATTTGTGAAAATGATAGATGCAATAACTCTTAGCTAAGTGAAGAAAATGTTATGAGAAACTTTGAAAATACTGATTTATCAACCCATACAAAATGAAACTTTCTGCATACATAAACATCTGGAACAAACTTTTAACTTACTTGTAATATATTTACATAGGGTACAATTTTGCATGGGAAAGACGGCTTTTTTCCTTCTCCAAATATAAAACCACAACCTATTTATAGTTTAAAGTTTCTGAGTTTCTGATTTGCCCATCAGGCAGTTTGTGCACTAAGTAATTTTGTGTGGCTGAAATCGCCACAGGAGAATAAACAATAGAAATAATAGGAAGGTAGGCAAAATCTGAGGAACTTGGTTAACATTAAGCGTGTAAGTAAGCCTATGGATTAATCCCTTTACAGAGTCGTATCCTAATCCTTATTTTAGACAGCATGTGACTTCAGGACTCTGAAGTTGAATACAACATCTAGTGCTCGTGTATGGTTTGATATCACAACCTGCAGTCACACACAGCGATTTACATGCAGTAATGCAATCTGCAATCTCATAGCAGAACATTTACAAACCCCAATTTTACAAAATGTTATGCATAAATCAGAAATTACAATGGAATGCATATACCATTGACTCCTTTGTGCAATTTTCCTGTAAACTGTAATTGGAATTGCTGTGAGCTACAGTTGGCTGACAGTGGTCTTGTACAGCCTTAAGCTCCACGAAGACACTTGAGGCCAAAGGAACAGAGAGATTCTTTTTCTTTTCTTCAGGGGGAGATACATATCTGAAATCATAGCAGTTGAGGCATTTCCTAAATGAGCTTTAAAAAACCTGGGCGGTAACTTCAGTGCTGGCAATTTTTCTGTGGAAAATTGGAAATTTAGCAATTGTTTTTGTTAATTGTGCCACCGAAACACAATATTTGCTAGCAGAGTTTAAGCTTAGATACGTACAGCAGCTGATGTGCTGTATTTCAGACTTGTGCTGCATCTTCATTGATTTTGATAGAGTAACAGTTTATTTTCTTTCACCTTGAATGTTGGCAATCAGCACTAAGTTATCCAGAGAGGTGAGTTATCCCAAGCTTGTCATCTTTTGGGGGTTTTCAGCTTGTGTTACTTTATCTTATTTATGAAAGGCTGGTTTTGGTTTTTATTTGCAAGTATCCAATAATCATGGTTGTGTGATTCTACATTTGGACAGGGAGTGGGTTATCAACAGTTTTGTAAATTTATCCATAGAAAAGCTTCCCTGATATCTTCCTGTGCCTCAGAATTTGTGGTACATAAATGGATAAATGTATTTGGGTTGGCTTTAGAAGAAGTAAAATGATCCACTTATTCATCCATTATTTTTTTCCCCCATCTTTTCCATGAGTATGTATGTGCTTTCTTTTAAGAGGCATAACATATCAAAATCATAATTGCTTTAAATACATTACAGAATACCATTTTAGAATAAAACATTTACTTTTTAAAATTGGAAATTAATCTTCTCCTTGAGTTTTATTTTGGAATAGCAAACTACTTGAAGTTTAAACAAAGTATTTCTCTTCAAAGAGAATGCTGTGTTTCTTTTGATCCAAAGTGGTTTGTCATTTGTGGAACAGAAGGGAAGAAGGAATGATTTCAGAACTGACAGACATGCATTTCAGAAGTAATAAGGACTTTAAAGTGCCCTCGTTTTACTTTGACTGAAACTGTAACCTGGAATTGCCAACTCTTTAATTACAAACTTATTTGTATCACACCACATGTATGAAAGATAGCTATTAAAAGCAAAAATTTAATATTCATCCTTAGATAAGCCAGGGCAGGGTTTGGGCATGAGAATAGAAGAAAGGAGCAGGCAAGCGTAACACCCTTCCCCAATTTTGTCTTACCTCCTCTCTTCCTTCCTTCCAGCAAAGCTAAGAGGAGTCGGTGCCTTTGGCCTATATCTACAATGCTGCCTTCTTCCATGCACCAAACCTGCTGTCCTTCCAATCAGTAGAAAATTACCACTCGCTATAATCATAATTGTATCAGACCAGTAGCCTTCTTTCAAGGGGAAAATCCCTGCTGTTCCCACCCCTCTTATCTTTAACACCAGACATACTTTTTTTTTTCTTTGTCAGTGGCAGCAGGGCAGGATTCCTCCCTAATGTCTCTTCAGCAAAGTCAGAACAACACACTGGGAAGAGAACTGCTGAAATTGTTGGGTCAAAATTAAGCTCTTAAAATTACATCTGAAAAATTGGCTCTTGGATTCTGATAGGCAATCAACTGTTATGTTTTTCGGTCCCATCTTCTCACTCCTTTTCCCTCAGCTACTACTGAAACTGCTTTTATATCAAGCAAGTCCTTTGGAATCAGAAGCAAAACTGATCTGTGTATATGTTAACTAAGAATTAATTCTTTTTAATAACTCAATATGAACTGATAGTGCATCCATAAAATGTGTACTTTGGGGTACTTTTTAAAGAACACCTCATTTGAATATCGTTATTTTGTCTTATTACAAGAGAATGAAGTACTGCCTAGTTCGTCAAGCAAGGTAAAGAAAATAGTCTTGAATATGTCAAAATAAGAAAAACCACATGCATTTTCAAAATGATATTTTTCGCAATGGTTTTCATCATACTGCTGGAGGAGTCAGAAGGACTATAAGTCTGTACAGTCCATACATGTTTGAGTTGCACTTTCATTTGTTTCAGTTCTGTTTTCAGATGGGGAAGCCAGAAGATAGTAACTGCAATACATGCTGGCATGTGTAAATGTGGTAGCTGGCAGGAGAGAGAAAGAAATCTCTGTTTAAACATGTATGATGAAGCCTGAGGATGGTGTTAAAATAATATTTTATAATGCAAACCTGGCAGATTTATGATAATATTTATTTTAATGAATAGCTTCTGCTTTAAAGGCCTGCGAAAAGGCACGTAAGATTGTGCTGTGGTTAGGAACGGCAGGGACCCCCCTGCTCCAAGTAACTGGGGATGTGGTGAGCTCTGACCATCGCAACATCCCCCGTCCCCAGGGCAGCTGCTATCCAGGTTGTCTCCTGACACAATTAAGAGTAGTCTCATGCTTGTGGTAGTTTGTGCTAGGGGGTATTGGCATTTCCTTCCTACACCTCTGAGGGTGGTTATTCCAGCACCTCCCAGCCTCTCATGACAGCAGGGTGCAGAGGACGCAGCTGATGTGGCCCTTCTGTCACAGGCTTCTCAGGGGACCATAGGCAAGTCAGATCCATCTGTAAAAATACACGGATGTCATCCTTGTCTCATCAAGGCATTGTGAGGGTAAATATATTAAGCATTGCAAGTCTCCATTACTTACATAAGGAAGCCGCATAAATAGCTTTGGTGGATAAGAAGTTATCTCACTCTTTCTTATTAACAGATGGAACCTACATAAAAAATAGATAATATGCTTTTGTTTAGTGATATTAGTGAAGTTGTCTAGATAACAATTTCCAGCAGCAGTGAGGACTGTCTGTAAATTTGAAAGCTGTCTCTTTTAATGATTTCCCATTATAAACCAAGAACAGATTTATTTTTTTTTAGTCAATATACCAAAGTAAAAACTGTGAAGAATTGTATGATCAAAATAGCATATATATCTAGGCTGGAAAGGAAAGAAGGTGCATTATAACTTCACGGAACAGATTTTACTTACGACCAAAACTTGCTTCTATTAATGAAACTTATTTTCTTGTTTTGCAGCTTGCAGGCCAGGATTCTATAAAGCATTTGCTGGAAATGTAAAGTGCTCCAAGTGCCCTCCACACAGTTTGACTTATGTAGAAGCAACTTCTGTCTGTCAGTGTGAGAAAGGTTACTTCAGAGCTGAGAAGGACCCACCAACTATGGCATGTACCCGTAAGTCTGATTAGTACCAGTGTCTGCAATTCTCTTCTCCTGTGCCTCATTTATTTATTTTTGTATTTTAAAAAAATGACATGAGTGTGTACATTTTGTGAAAAGTTCCATTCAAGGTAACCAAAAGAGATTTTTGAAATCAAAATTCAAACAGCATATTTCTATTTACTCTAGATATCCCTAAAAATACTCTCAAGTTTCTTAGTTTGGTGACTTTTTAACTTGTAGTTCTGAGAGAAAATACAAGGTGTGTAATCATTGTCATATAGATAACAATGTTGAGTTTTAGCTACCAGTATGTATTTTAAATACATGAAAATATGCTTGTACAATAACTTTCAAAAAACTGAGGCGTCACATAAAGAAAAATACTGGTATGACATACTTTGCTGTCTCCCCAGATTTAAAAGAAAATTATAAGACAAATATCATCCCAACACAATCAAATAAAAACTAAACTCTCTAAAAAAGACAAGAAGAATCATAAAAAGAAAGAAAAAAGATGTATCCAATCAAAAGGAAATACAATTAAACCGTCTTGCATATCATCTTCTTTCAACAGTTATTCCCTCTTAAACAACTGTGATAATGAAAATTCTTTAGATTTTTTGATAATTTTTAAAATACAACATTTTGTGATTTTTTTACTAACCTAAATTTTTCATTAAGACAAAACTAATGCCCAGCAAACTAGGGTCAGAAATTCTGACTGAGAAGAGAATTTTATTACTTTGATCAATGCGCTCCTGTCTAGAAACATAAAGCACAAATTTTCTTTTCACTTAATAAAATATTTCTCATAGATTTTCATACGTGGTTCATTACTCACTGGGATTCATTTATTGATCATACAGCAACTATATCTGTTTAATCTCAAAACTGGGAACAAACAGCAGCATCTAAAAATCTGTGTGTGAAATACTATACATATAAAATCCTATTATTTAATAAAGACAATTAAAATCTGTTTGCAAAATTTTCTAAGATACCTAGTTTCCTGTGTAGCGTTTTGTTAGCTCTTTTGGTGAAGGATTTGTTTGTAGCACATTTTGTGCCACAGTCCTCTTGTTAAGAGAAGTCTAAAAAAATTAACATGTTAAATGCATGAAGTATTTTAACAGACTAAGTATACAAAAAGCTTAAGAGATAAAACCATATAAATAACCATAATAATGTTGCAATAACCATCAGTGTATAGTCATAATTTTGATATATTTAGACTGCGTAAGGCAGCACCATGTAAAAATAACTGAGATGACAGAATTGAACTACTACTAGCGGAGCTGAACTGCTTCCTGTGCTCATGCTAGTCTCTCCAGTTGGCACTGTACTGGGAAAATTGGTAATATACCAGGTAATTTGGAGCTGATTTACAAAGTCATAGGCGCTCTGTAGTCCTGAGGTCATTACATAGACCAAGACATTGTCTATCCACTAAATGGGAGTGATGGTCATGAAAAATGGCATTCCTCAGATCCAAGGCACTTAGCAGAAAGTTGTCTAATCTGACAATGGAGTTTTCAGAGGCGAAGGTTAAGTTCCAGCCTCCAGCTACTTAAGGGACATAGAGACCAGAGAGGCACCCCAATCAAATGTTCACAATCTGCTGTCAGTTTACTCTGGAGCAAGGCACATAGGCCTATCACAAAATATGTGAGGGAATAAGCAATGCTGTTTCAGACTTCCTGCAGGAAAATGCTGATTACAAATAATTCCACTCAAATGAGTGCCCCAAGCACAGGCCATTAAAAACTTACCCACAGAACTAACACACATCCCAGGCACTCTTGACAGTTTCATGCTTAGAAGGATGGTTTCACTCATGCATTATGCAGATGTGGTTCCATATTATTTATAAGTCATTGATTTTTCATCTCCAAAAGACAGTTCTTCTCTGAAAAAATTACTCATACATGGCGTTATGTTTCCATAATTATCTTTTAGGGCACAATTTTAAGCCCTGCTACCAATTAGTATTGATAAGGTAGAGAGGAGCATGAGAGCCCTGTGGCATCAGTGAGTAGGTACCTATAACACCCTGGTGCTTTCCCAACAAAAGCAGGGTGCTGAGAGCTGCTTTGGCCAAAAACTGTCAGGGAAAACTTGCTGCCAGACCTCTCTGTTTCTGCTGAGGATGTCAGCCAAAGCAGCCGAGTGAGTGGAGGCAGGGAAGAAATCAACCGCAACAGAGGTACCAGTGCCCTATCTCATCCCAGCTTGGGAGAAATAAGAAATAAAGCAGACAGTGAACCACATTCTAGTTTCTGCCTTGCTCTTGGTTCAGTGCCACCATGCATTGCCTCTCATTCAGCCTAGGCTGCAAGGTATCAGTACTTCATTGACTGTAACAGCAGATGTATTCATCTTATACCTACCATGATGATTATTTCACTAATTGTCAGCTCTGCAAATGACACCAAGACTCTTGACAGGCAAACTGCGTTCCTATGTTCTTGCACATCATCAGTAATGAAGAGTCTGCAGGCCAAATTATTCCCTAAGTGATATCTTTAGCCCCACTGCTTTCAAATTATGCTCTCAGTTATTAAAATTATGTTTCTGTCATAAATACAACCTCACTGCCTTCGGTGGGTCTGTGCAGATGTGGCTAATTTGAATGTAATAAACAAAGATACAGATATGAGTAGAATTTAGATTGTTCCTTCCAAACTGTCATGCTTTACTGTAATAAAAGGAGTTGAAAAGTTAGAAAAAAAATTACCAATTTGACTAAATAGAGAGAAAAGGCTGTACAGTAAGAAAATGCTTTTTCTACATAACCACTTTTGGGGCAGATCTGCATTTTTTATGTTCATTTGCAAATTTGTATCCTGACATGTGAGATGTGACATAAGAGATGAGAAATTTTTTTTGTGACTTTCTAAATGAAAGTTGTTCTTGAATCAAACACAGAATGAATAGTGGATTCCCCTTATCGTGGAGGCTCACACAATCAGATTAAACAGGTGTTAAACTCAACGAAATATATTCTTCAGTCAAAATCATTTAGAACAACAACAACAGTCTGTCCTGGTTTCAGCTGGGATAGAGTTAATTGTCTTCCTAGTAGCTGGTACAGTGCTGTGTTTTGGGTTCAGTATGAGAAGAATGTTGATAACACTGATGTTTTCAGTTGTTGCTAAGTAATGTTTAGTCTAAAGTCAAGGAATTTTCAGCTTCTCATGCCCAGCCAGCAAGAAGGCTGGAGGGGCACAAGAAGTTGGGAGGGGACACAGCCAGGGCAGCTGACCCAAACTGGTCAAAGGGGTATTCCATACCATGTCATGCCCTGTATATAAACTGGGGGGTGAGGGGGCAGGGGGGATCACCGCTTGGGGGCTAACTGGGCATCGATTGGCGGGGGGGGAGCAATTGCATTGTGCATCACTTGTATATTCTAATCCTTTTATTATTACTGTGGTCATTTTATTAGTGTTATCATTATCATTATTAGTTTCTTCTTTTCTGTTCTATTACATCGTTCTTATCTCAACCCATGAGTTTTACTTCTTTTCCTGATTTTCTCCCCCATACCACTGGGTGAAGGGGAAGCGAGTGAGCGGCTGCGTGGTGCTTAGTTGCTGGCTGGGGTTAAACCACAACAGTCCATTTTGGCGCCCAGTGTGGGGCACCAACGTGTGAGCTGGGCAGCTCAACCCCCAAACCATGGCTTCTAGGTTTTGGGGTTTTTTTCTCTTGGTCGAAAAGTTTTGGTCTCCATCAGGGCAGGCATACCTGCCAAACCCCTTACAAATTTCCTCATAATCAAACATTTTGAACCACCTGTGTTTGTACCTATTTGATTTGCTTCCCCAAGTCCTGTAAAGCAATATGCCTAAGATAGGTAGATATTTTAGTCTCTCTCTTCATTCCTGTATAGGGTTAGACAGTATTCCTCACTCCAGAGTTTTTCCTCAGTACTGGAAAACTTGCATATGCAGCATTATGGAAAATAAGAACCTTGATTTAAGATACTATGAAATTAAGGGTTTAGCTTCATGCATCCACTTTTCAAGACGAGCTTCAAATCTGTTAAGGGAGAAGCCCCTGCCCGAGCACTCCCCCGCGGATCAAGGAGTTGCATGTACACCACCCCAGGCTTTAACTGCAGCGGGTGAGCCCAGGGGGCCGACGGGTGCCCCTTCCGACCCCTCACACACACACACTCGGGTGCTGCCTCTTCCCTCAGGCTCCACCTTAGGTTCCCTGAAGCAGAATCTCTAATCAAGGCCTTCAAAATAAAAAGCGTAATTTACTCTACCTATGGCGCACCAATTTAGACAGCTCAAGCTGGGTGCCTCCAGAAAGGGACTCCAAACACTAAAATCCCTGGGTGTTATAGGTTTGTGTGGCGTGGGGGTTCTTTTTTGTTAGCGGGGGAGGGGCCGCAGGGACGGCTCCCGCCAGAAGCTGCCAGAAGTTTCCCTGGCTTCAAGCCGGACCCGCCTCTGGCCCAGGCCAAGCCCATCAGCGACGGTGGTCGCGCCTCTGGGAGAACAGATTTAAGAAGGGGAACCGGATTGGAACGTGAGAGGAACTCCTCTGCAGACAGTCAGTGAGGAAGGAGGGGAGGAGGTGCACCGGAGGAGGGGATGCCCCTGCAGCCCGTGGTGGGTCGGGATGGCAGGCTGTCCCCCCCCATGGAAAGGACCGGGGGAGCAGAGGCCTCCCAAGATGGCCGCGACTCCATGGGAAAGTCCATGCTGGAGCAGTGCGTGACTGAAGATCAGCCCGCGGAAAGGACCCGCACCAGGGAAGTTCGGGAAGAGCTGAAGCCTGTGGAAAGGACCCATGCCAGGGAAGTTTGTGAGGAACTGCTGCCCGCAGAAAGGACTCATGTTGAAGTTGGTGAAGGACTGTCTCCCGTGGGAGAGACCTGACGGTGGAGCAGGGAACGGGTGAGGTGTCCTCCTCCCCCGAGGAGGAAGGAGCGGCGGAGACAAGGTGTGGGGAGCTCACCCCAACCCCCATCCCCTGTTCCCCTGCGCTGCGGGGGGCGA